CACTTTTAGTTCTGTAAGGTAATACTTCACTTGTCAATTCTTTTACTTCCTAGAACCTTCTTGTCTTTAGTAAAGGAAGTGTGTACTTGAGTCTTTTTAGATTACTAAAAGTCTAAGTTTTTATTCAAAAGAGTTTATAAACAAGTAAAAAAGAATAGAAGAGACACATGAAAATAAGCTTCAAGTTGTTTTAATGAAAGTATAATGACTTTATTAGCAAAGAAATATGAAACTTCTTATGAACATCTTTTTTGTGTATGGTTAGAGGATTAGCAAAAAGAGTGTTTACTTTATTAAATATTATTAAATATTGTTTTTATGTATTTTAACTTTAAAAATATGGTTGTACTTTATTAAAGATTGTTAGCTATTTTTCAAATTCATTTTTTTCTCTTATAACTTTTCTTTTATTTTTGTTATTTTTTTAAATAGTTATTTAAGTTTTTTTTGCATATGTTTCTTATATTATTCTTTATTAAAAATTTTTATTGTAATTAAATTACCTTGTAATATATTATTTTCTGAATTCTTTATAAGAACTTATCTTTTCTATTTACTTTTTTTCTTTTTTTTCAAAATTATCAAATAAAAAAATTTTTAAGAAAAAAAATTTATTAAAAAATAATAGATAATAAAATAATTTATTTAAATTATTAAATTAATTTTATATAAAATTTTTTTAATAATAATTTGATATATTTTGAAGTTTTTATTTAATAGAAAATTCAATAAAAATAAATTTCTTATTATTATTCAATATTTATAAGATTTATTTAAAATAAATAAAAATTTTATAATAAAATTTAAATTTATACTTGTTAAAAATAATTTATCTTTTTTTTTTTTTTTTTTTACTTACAGTCAGGTTAATATGGTTTGTCTTTATTGTATATATAACAGATATTTACAAATTGGTTTGATTTTCATATACTAACTTACCCATCATTGAAAAACTATTTCTTTAGATACAACTTAGGAAATAATATTTTGCTCCTTTACTGACTTGGATAAATTCTCTAGTCAATAAAATTATTGTCTATAGGTTATTACTATAGATTATTCTAAATTTCAACTGTAGTTAAAAATAAAACTATTTCTTCCATGATAAATCCAATTCTTGATGATTTTTATATACTTTCTTTTCTCCTTTCTTTCAAAGACTTCTTGCCCTGGATCTTCTGCAAATGTAGATTCTTTTTTCTATTCTTGTATGATCTACGTAATAGATCTATACCTAGGTCTTTTAATTATTTTATTCTTTTTAATAATATTCCCCACTCTATTACTTTTTTGTAATGACTATTTCAATTTTATAATAAAGCTTACTGATTATACTTTATATGACTATTGAAGAATTTTGAGTTGTGCTTTGAGGTAATTCTTTAAGAAAGTAGTTTTGTTTTCTTCTATGTAGCTACAAATAGTATTAAAAAGGCTTCTATCAGATTGATGAATCTTATTTAACCATTTACTTGTCCAGTTATTAGTTATAAAATGAACTTTTTCTTTGTTTTTAATTTTTTTACTGATGTAGCAATTGATTTTTTCTTTTGCTTTTCTTTATATATCTTCTCTGATTTCTTTGGTAGTCAATATTTGAACAAGTGTCTTAATGTTTCTTCTTGAAGTTTGCATATTGAACAGGTTGTTATGATATAAATATTGATTTCCTTTTTTTCAATATCTGCAGTAATAGAAGTTTATTATGGATTAAATTAGTCAAAAAGCTTTTGTCTTTATTATTTTTAAAAGAGGCATTAAAGATATTGGATAGATTGAACTGATTTCAAAAGATTAACCAGTCTATAATTTTATTATTTTTGATCCACAGTTCTTGAACCCTTTTCTGTGTTATTCAATCTTTTTCTATATTTTTCCTATTGAATGTTTTGACAAATTTCTTAATACTGATCTCTATTATGTGTTCTCTCTATGTGGCTATTGTAAGAACTGTTTTTAATTCTAGTAATTAATTCCAGATTATTGGATTTTCACGTTTAACTTATTTGGTAAGTAAATCTACTTAGTTATTGAACTTTTTGGTCCCATGAGTTTTGACCTTTATAATTTTCAAGGTAAGATCTTTCTTTTTAACTAGGTTTTTGATTTTACTCCATAATGGTCAATTAGCAATCTTTGTTCATCTTCTTATTAATATCTCCATTTGTGAACTAATAGATTTCCATGTTTTAACTACAGTATTACAATTAAAGAATATTATTAAGACTGTTATATTTTAGGAAGCTGTATATATTGCAGTTAGAATAGCCAATATTTTTGTTAAAAATAATTTATATAAGTATTAAATTTTTATTTATTATATTTTAAGTAAATTTTAAAAATTTAAAAAATATTATATTAAAAATAAAAATAAAGTATTTTTTAATTAGATTGTTTATATAATTTTTAATAATAGATTATTATTTATTTATTAACATTTTTTATTAATTCTTTAACTATACTTGAAAAAACTATTTATCTAAAGTTTTAATAAAGTTTTATTATTATTTTTAAAACAATTTTAAGAGTATTTTCAAAAATTATTACTATATTTTTATTTTTGTTTATAAATCTCTATAATTGTAAACTTGATTTCAGATAATTAAGAAAAGTTAAATAACAATTTTATATCAAATTATAAAAAAGTTTCTAAAATAAAAAAACCTACTATAAGTTTTTTTAATATTATTATATTTTTAAAATAAATTTTATAAAAAAAATATATAATAAAAAGATTTGTTTTTTTTCTTACTATTTATTTTTGTTTTTTTAAAACTTCTATTTTTAATTTTTATAATTTATTAATTTATTTAAATTTGATTTTAAATTTTTAAATAGGATAATATTTATTAAAAATAATTGTTTATCATGAAATATATTAGTTTTTAAAATATAAACAAGCACCTGTTGATTATATTTATATGTTTTGAAAATATTATTGATAGTTAAAAAAAATTTTTTTTTGAAAATATATTTTTCAATTAAATATGGTTTTAAAAAAACTATTATAATACTTGTTTAATATAGAATATACTAATTTTTGAGATATAAACAAGTTTTTATTGTTTATATTTACATGTTCTAAAAATATTATTGATAATTAAAAAAATTTTTTTTAAAAATAATATTTTTCAATTGAATAAGTTAGTGAAAAGACTTTATTAAATAAAAGTTAAGATTTTTAAGTTTTCACTTTAATTAAGTAAAGTTTTTAAAAAAACTTTTTTATTTTAGTTAGGTAAACTTTTTGAATATAATATTGATATTAATGACATGATAAATAAATTCATATATCAATAGAGAGATAAGTTTTTCAAATATTTTTCTTGATGTCTTCTTATTTGAAAATAATTAAATTTCTCAAATATTATAATATCTTAATCAAGCAAATCCCTTTTAAGAAGAGATTATTGAATAGATTAAAAACTTTTTAAGAGTTTTAATTTATTCTTTTTTTTTCTTTTCTCAATTACTTTAATAATTTATTGTTTTTAAAATAATCAATAGCAACAACTATTGACAATGATCTTAATAGTTAGAAGGAAATATAATATTGTTTTTTAAATGGACTTTTCATATTTTTTAAATAGTGTAGTACCATCACGTCGTGACTTATATTATTCTTTGTCTCAAAATATATTACTAATAAAATTTTTAATATTTTCATTCAATAGATTAAAATGGTTTTTCAATGTATCGTATAATAAATAAGATAATCAGACTATCAAAGACCAGTCATTGACAAATTAGTCTTGTATATATGCAGATTTTACGATTTCAAGGGTACAGTATACAGTATCTTTTAATAACTTTCGTTAAATAATATAAACTCGAGTTAGGCAAATTTGGATTAGTGTTAGCAAAACTGAATTGGTCATATGAAATTGGTTATCAAAAAAATGAGCTGTGCAAAACTCGGAATTATACAAACTTGAGTTACGCGAGAATTAGCGTGAATGAAACTTGATCAGCAAAAAACCTGTATCGTGCTTATGCAAAACCTGAATTGCGCGATTATTGTGTTCTTTGAGTAAAACACCTAAACGCCTGGTACAACTTAAACTCCTGTTATCATATCACCATAATATTATCACGTGACACGATGTGGGTAGTATTATAAACTTGTAATTGTCTATGCATTAAAAAAATCAAAATCATTTTCTTGATTGATCATACATAAAAGTTAGAAAATTTGCTTTCGTTTTAAGTCTCACAGCCGCATCAAAATTACGTATTAATTCGATCAGCAATCTCGATCAACTTTAATTTGTCAAATTTAAATTTTCCGTGAGGCAATGCATGGCAAATTAAAGCCGGAAGTGAGCGGTTTGCCGACTTCCCGAAACCCTAGGGGCGCAATATATACAGTATATATATATAAAAAGAAAAAGAAGCTACTACAAACACACGGAAACTGCCTATATGAATATGGATAATCTCTCATAGTATAAACTAGATTGGCCAGGAGTACGCGTGTCACTTGTTTATCGAAAATAAAATAGAATTTATTTTATTGAATTTTGTGGCGAGTGAGTTCATCACGTAACTGTTATTCGGTGATAACAATTTGGTATTCTTGGTCGAATTAATCAGTTCGCGTCCACTTTTCTATTTATAAACTGACAACAAAAAATCACATAAATAGAACAATACACCTTAACTTTATTATATTTAGTATGTATATACTTATTTAGACAGTATAACCGATACTGAGTGGCGCTTTTCAAAATGCAATCAAATCACCATACTTGCTTTAATAAAAAGCTTAGCTAATTTGACGCCACCTCCATTCGAATTTCCTGTGGAACACGTTCCAAAATTAATAAAATACCACCCATTTTCATTCTCTTTTTTTTTTTTTTTTTTTTTTTTTTTAATCCTCATAGCCTCTCCCCTTTGGGATCTTTTTTATTGTTTATGTTATTAATTAGGATAAATAAAGACTCCTAGAGTTCAAGCAACAACTCTAAAAAATTTGTTCACGCTAATATCCGATTAGAATGTCTGGTTTTGGTGGTTATCCTCCACCCGAAGGATACCGTCCACCTTCCGAAGTTGTTTACCCCGAAGGATACCGTCCACCTTCCGAAGTTGTTTACCCCGAAGGATACCGTCCACCTTCCGAAGTTGTTTACCCGCCGCCTCCTCCATCGGAATATGCATTCCCTTCATCAGATGTACCCCAACAATACGATCAGTCGCATCCTTTGTTACCCCAGAATCCCTCCGTCTCCTTTAACGTGGAGTCTGAGGAAACTCCTCAACACTATGGTCAAGCCCCACGACGTCAACCTCGTCGTTACAAAACTACAAAGCGTGTAAAATTATATGATGGAAACTTCGTGATAGATTGTCCTGTACCAGAGAAGCTGTTACAGCAAGTTCCCAGAAAAGAAGAAAGAGAATTCACACATATGAGGTATACCGCGTGTACGTGCAAGCCGGACGAATTCAAGGATTTCAAATATACCCTTCGTCAACAGCAACTTGACCCCCCAAGGCCAACAGAATTGTTTATAGTGTTGACTATGTATAACGTAAGTATTCACATCTGATTTTTGAGTTACCAAACAAGAATATAGGTTGAATCGCTTACGAACTTGTGACGTCACCCGTCACATTACAATATACACGTTGATAGGAAGATGAGGTGCTCTTTGCCCGTACGTTTCACGGTGTCGTCAAAAACATCGGTCACCTTTGCTCCCGAGATCGATCGCGAGTTTGGGGTAAGGAAGGATGGAAGAAGGTTGTGGTATGCGTGGTTTCCGACGGTCGCGCAAAGATCAATCGACGTACATTAGCTTATCTAGCAGCCATTGGAGTCTATCAGGATGGTATCGCAAAAAACTACGTTGAGTCCATAAAGGAGGATGGTACGAGAATTAAAAAGGAAGTTACTGCTCACATATACGAGTATACGACCCAAATGTCAATTGACGCGGAAATGAAAATAAAGACTGAAAATATCGTGCCCATTCAAGTGCTTTTTTGTCTTAAAGAGAAGAATGCTAAAAAGATTAATTCGCACCGTTGGTTCTTTAATGCATTTGGATCAATCCTTAATCCCAATGTATGTGTCCTTCTTGATGTTGGTACCAAACCTGGCGGTACTTCGATATATCATCTATGGAAGGCTTTTGACCTTAACTCAAACGTTGCTGGAGCTTGCGGTGAAATTGTTGCAATGAAAGGTCCTGCCGGCGTCAACCTTCTCAACCCCATAGTGGCTTGTCAAAATTTTGAGTATAAGATGTCCAATATCTTGGATAAACCTCTCGAATCAGTTTTTGGATATATAACGGTGTTACCCGGTGCCTTTTCTGCCTATCGCTATATTGCCTTGCAGAATGATGAAAACGGAATGGGTCCTCTGCACTCCTACTTCTTGGGCGAAGCGGCGCATGCACCGGAAGGCGAAAGCAGTGGCAAAAAAAAAGAGGAGAAAGATGATATATTTACTGCCAACATGTATCTTGCAGAAGATCGAATTCTTTGTTTCGAGTTGGTGGCAAAGCGAAATTGTTCTTGGGTATTACATTACGTTAAGTCTGCTTATGCTGAGACCGATGTTCCAGATCAAGTGCCAGAGTTGATTTCTCAAAGAAGACGTTGGTTGAATGGTTCTTTCTTTGCTGGTGTATACGCAATATACAACACTTTTGCCATCTGGAGAAGCGATCATAGTATAATGCGAAAAGTCCTCTTGCATGTTGAAATGTTGTATCAATCATACAACCTGCTATTTTCATGGTTTGCTTTGGTACGTGGTGCATGGATAGGCCTTTATCATTATTAGTATCTATTAACCGGATTGAGATATTATTATTTCTTTTTCTATTTTCCGTGTTCACACAGGGTAATTTCTATTTAACCTTCTACATTTTGGGTAACTCTCTCACCGATCCTGTCGTCATCGAGGGACTTTGGAGTAAAACAGCAGGCGACATCATATTTCAGATCTTACGTTATGTTTACCTAACACTGCTTATCATTCAATTTATTATGGCTTTGGGAAATAGACCTCAAGGGTAAGATGACAGATCTCTTATCGATCGACGTGATTCAAAATGTGCAATACGCTTGAACTTAATTCCCTTATAATCATCCACAGTTCCAAATGGGCATATATAACTTCAATAGTATTCTTTTCGTTCCTCATGCTCTACATGTTGTTCGCTGCCGGATGGCTCACGTACAAAGGTGTTTCCTTCCAATTGGATAAGCAGAGAGGAAAACTCACCGGTGCTAATGTGTCAACCGCGAGCGCCATTCTGGGCAACGCGACATTCAGGAACATCATCCTTTCCGTGGTTTCCACATATGGTTTATATTTTCTTGCCAGTTTCTTGTTCTTCGAGCCATGGCACATGTTCACTAGTCTGGGACAATATTTGTTGTTGGTCCCATTTTACATTAACATTTTGAACGTCTACGCTTTTTGTAATGTGCATGATGTCAGGTAAACATTTTATTTCATTCTTTGGATATTTATTATGAGTATTAACACTTATTGTTCTTATTTATTCGTATGTTAATAGTTGGGGTACCAAAGGAGATAATTCGGCTAAACAGGATTTGGGTTCGGCAAAGATTAAGTCCGGAAAAAGCGAGGTGGAAGTCGAAGTACCCGTCGAGCAAAAGGATATCAACGAAGCATATGAAGAAGCTGTTGAAGAATTAAAACAACATGTCGAGGAAGAGGTGAAACACCGTTCCGCTAGTGAAAAGAGAGATGATTATAACAAAGCATTTCGTACGCGTGTTGTCCTTGCCTGGATTCTTTCTAATGCTACGTTAGTTGCCGTTATTACGAGTGCTGATTCGACTCTGAGTGCAATGCTACCTGAACAAGAAAGATCTAATATTTATATGGCCTTCATTCTATGGTCCGTGACTGGGTTGGCTGCATTCAGGTTCATGGGTAGTTGCACGTTCTTACTCTTCCGCATGTTTACCGGCGACTAACTTTTGAAAACTCGGTTTATTTTTTACGCTTTTGATGTGAAATAATTATGTAATACTGCTTATTTCTTTCCTTTTTTTTTTTTTTTTTTTTTTTTTTTTTTTTTTTTTTTTTTTCTTTTTTTTTTTTTTTTTTTTTTTTTTTTTTTTT